TTAAAGATTACTGAGAATATTACATAAGCTGCACACCCATCCTCCTCCTCCTCCTCCTCCTCACACAATGCCACTGTAAATACAGTAGTACGCTGAATGAACGACAAGGACAAATCCTCACATGCGTACTAAAATGTGTGAATGAGTCAGCATGAATGATGTTGAATGATTCAGGTATTCATTTCGGAACAACGATCAGAGAAGCTGCCCGGCTCGGTTTCCCTCCTGGTGTGGTGACGTCTCTGCAGAGCTGCTTACGTCAGAGCTGCGGAGACCAGGGATGGAGCATCTCTCTGTGCTGCCAAACGGATGGGATGTAGAATAGGATTTGAATAAATATAGCTTCTGCTGTTTGCTGTGGAAAAAATCATTTACGCCCACAAAACTCCCACAAATCCCAGAGAATCATTAAGCCTTAGGGTTCAGAAGCTGAGGTTTAGAGAGGAGGGAAACCAGTTTTCTTATCCAACAATGTTCAGTCAGGTTATCTGGATGGTTTCTTTTTTTTTTTAAACTTGCTGATATGTTTCATCCTTGGGGCAGCACAGTGGCACAACTGGTAGAGCTGCTGCCTCTCAGCGAGCAGGTTACCCTGATTCAAATCACAGTCCGGGGGTCTTTCTGGGTAAAGTTTGCATGTTCTCTCCGTGCATGCGTGGGTTTTCTCCAGGTACTCCGGTTTCCTCCCACAGACCAAAAACATGCATGTTAGACTGATTAGTAACTCTAAATTGCTCCTAGGTGTGAGTGAGAGAGTGAATGGTTGTTTGTCTCGTTTGTCCCTTTATGTGTCCCTGTGATGGACTGGAAACCTGTCCAGGGTGTACCCCGCCCCTTGTACTGTGATTGCTGGACATGGGCACCGGCGACCCCCGTGACCCAAAAAGGAAGAAACAGGTTAAAGATAATGGATGGATGTTTCATACTTCATCCAAAGGACTTCTTCAGTCCGAGGAGCCACAAAGAAACTGGAGTTCCACAAGCACAACAATCCCATAGTGGAAAAAAACTGTTTGCTGGTGATAAGATGGTTTCTGGGGCCCACCCTCTCCAAACCATCTTAACACCAGCAAACTGTTTTTTCCACTATGGGAGTGAGGTGCTTTTAGGACTCCAGTTTGTTTGTGGCTCCTCGGACTAAAGAAGTCCTTTGGATGAAGGACGAAACATCTCAGCAAAAAGAAAAAAGAAACCGTCCAGATGACCTGCCTGAACATTGTTAGATTTGTACCTGAATTATTGAGCATGGACTTTGGCAGTTTTCTTATCAAATATATGTTTCCATCTTACATCTTTGTCATCAAGAAATGCTGTTCTTTTTATTGTTAATTTATGTGGAACCGATTAAATTATTGGATTTCTTGCTTTTTCAGAGAAATATTAGTTAAATATAAGAACAAGTCATTTTGCCTCAGTACTGTATTCCTCTTCTATGCAGTATTTTAGGGGCAGAGTTAGTATCACAAAAACAAAATAAGAAGTATTTCTGTGTACTTGTACAACTCCCTGGATTCACTTTTTGAGGAAATTTAACATTTTTCTATGAGACTCTATGCTGATGAAACTGTACTCCTGTGTGTAAATATATTGGCATAAAAATAAACACAAAAAATTTAAGTAAATTTCAGAACACGTACCTTTGAAAATTATTGTCAGAATTTTTTTTATTTTTTATGCTGAACTCCTCACATTATTCCTGTTACCTGGGCGGCTGTGGCTGAGAAGTTAGAGCAGTCATCCTCCAATGCAAGAGTTGGGGGTTCGATTCCAAATGCGGAAGTGTCCCTGGGCAAGACACTGAATCCCTCATTGCCTCTGATGTGTGTCTCATGGGTTTAGGAATGTGATAAAGCACTGATTATTCTTTGTATAGATCTAGTAGAGTGCTGTATGAATGGGTAAATGAGTGCACAGATTGTGTTGTAAAGTGCTTTGAGTATCTTGATTAGATAGAAAGGTGCTATATAAGTACAGTCCATTTACCATTTACCTGCCTTCTACATCAGTTTCTTTGAAACTCTACAAAACCCCTGTAAATGTTTTGACCAAATGAGTGGGTTTTCCACTCATCTGTCATGTATTTCCTTTCCTGATCAACATACTGATTGTAAAAGGCACAACTCAGGCCAGTCATGTCTTCTGTTTCCAGCTCCACTGCTCAAGGCCATTGAGGAGTACCCCTTGTAGCTGGACAGCCCACCGTGTGTTGTCCGTCAATGGCTACTCCAACCTCTTCGTGATTTGTTGATCATGTGAGTGGCAGTGCGGTTCTGTGTGGTGATTTGTCCCGTGAGGCTGGCCCTGCCTCTGCCATTGCTGCCATCAGCTGCTCCGCTACAACTCGACATGAATGCACGATACTGGCATTTGTTGAATTCAAGGTGGCATCTTTTCAATTAGAGAGTGAAATACCTTTTCAGCCTCTCGAGTGGCCTGGCAATCTACAGCCAAGGGGGCCCTGGCAGTATAATGATGCCTGGCACAATAGTACCACTGTTTCCCCAACCGGTTCCCAGGAAACCGCACAACGTGTGCCATTGTGTGGAGTGCTTTGCTGCCCGACCACGTCACCCAGCTTCACCCAGACAAACCAAGAGGCCTGCCTGTGCGATGGAGCACACAATAATGCAGTTGGTCGGTTCAGGAGACTGTGAGCTGAATACCAGGGGTATTTCACCTCATACTGTATTTAATATGTTTAAAAAAAAATACCTTTAGAAAAAGCTACCTTTAAAAGAGTATAGGCTGAAATTCAAAATTCAAAATGGACCTAATGAAACAAGGACTGTTAACCTATTGCCTTATTGTTGTAGAGTACACCCTGATCTTTGTGGCTATGCTGAACCTCCTCAATAAAAGAGGAAACCAGGAGAAAAGTGACAAGCAGATAAATCGAGGCACAAAACAGCTAGAACTGGTTTGTAGCTGGTCCCAACTGGTTCTTCTCTTTTTATGTCAATGCCGGGAGTTCAACCATTTGTGTGTGTCCCCCTTTACAGATCCTGACATGGTCACCATTATGGCTGCTGTTTATGCAGCAGAGCAAAAAAACAAAAAAAGATCATTTAGGGCCAGCCAGATGGGGGGGATTTAGTCAACAACATGTAGGAGATACATGTCAAAGGGGCCCTTCTGGGCCTCACAAGGCAGCTGGTTAGCTAATGCAACACAACAGGATATCCAGGAAATGAAGGCCTGATGCAAAGCCCAGTGTGACATGGCAAGCTAAAAGCTCTGTTTTCCTTTAAGGGAGGACCTGTCACTTTATGTGTCAATTATTCACTGGGTTTGCCAAAACCTTTATTCATGGTTAACTTGAGATTTTGAATGGGAGTTTACTGTTTACAGGTTGCACCAGTAAATGTGTTTCAGTCTGACAAGTCACCCTAATCCCATTTCATTTACACTTTAAGTACTGCAAAAATGTAACTAAATAAATGATAATAGAGAAATTATTATAAAATAAGCCAAATTTATTATAATACTTGCAATGTTTTCCCCTTGACCACTTGCATTGGTTGTTTCCATTAACTGTTTATGTTTTGCTTTTAAAATGACACTTCTTTCTACATAATGCATATGGTTCCATGTCATCCTGATGCATGCTGTATAATCCAGGTAGGTAAATCCAACAAGGTTGAGTCAGGTCCTCTGGATGGATTCTTCTTTGTTGAAAACAACAAGAAAGAAGGACCTGACTCAACCTTAATATTTTCATGTCTGTACTTTTTATATTGCTTTAACAGACTGAGTTGTTGTCTAGCCTTTTGCTTTGAGTGGCCCTTCATGTTGGGGATTATAATTATGGTAACCCTACCTTACTCTGATCTGCACTGGACAGCCACATGGCATCAAACAGTTGTAAGGCTATCAAAAGGCTACATGTAGCAGCTGCTGGATACCAACATTTCTTCTATCTGTTGAGGTGCATGTAGCTGATTTTTGGTCTATTTGTTGTCTAATGTAGACAATATAGATTCATATATTTTATATACTGTATATCAATCTATATTGATTATAATATAGATAATATTCATTCCATAGATTGAAACTGTATAAAAACCTCAAAGTTGATGCTCAATAATCCAGGTTAAAAAATCCAACAAAGTCCAGTCAGGTCATCTGGGTGGTTTCTTTTTTGTTGCTGTTGAGATGTTTCGTCCTTCATCCAAAGGGCTTCATCAATCTGAGGAGCCACAAACAAAATGAGTCACCAAAACAGCACACTCCCATAGTGGGTCAACCAGTTTGCTGGTGATAAGATGGTTTCTGGAGCCTGGCCTCTCCCCCCATCATGGTTGGTCCCACAGTGTAGTGGTCCACTATGGGAGTGTGCTGCTTGTGGGACTGAGTATGTTGTGGCTCCTCAGATTGACGAAGTCCTTTGGATGAAACGTCTCAACAAAAAACAAAAGAAACCGTCCAGATGACCTGACTGAACTTTGTTGGGTGTATAAAAACCTCTTCTTGTCAAGGTAATTGGCTCGGGCTTCATTTGGTAACTTGTCACCATTTCTGAAGATAAAATTGTTTTAGTCTAAAACTAATTTATTTTCCCCATTAATTTGTTATTAATTACATTTTTTCCTTAAAGGTTTTATATATAATCTGATAGGGTTTTGAAAATTAAAGGTAGAAATTTGAGCTTTTCCTTCCATCATAGCAAAAGATACCGAATCACTTAAACATGTATTACATCTTTATTGTCACTTTTATCTTGAATAAAAACTAAAACTTTGTCCTTTTTTTCCTGATTTTTAAAGAACATTTACATTTTGGTACACCGATACTTTAAACCATCAACTCAGGTTCAAACTTGAGAAACTATCTGTGAATGTTCATGTTTGACATATGCAGTTTTGACCGTCCCTGTTCAAATTCTCTTTAACCAAACAAGAAAATTGTTTAAAATTGAATAGTGATTATTATTAATAATCCCACAGTGTATGTTATCCCCTTGTCTCTTTTTAATGCTAACTGCCTGTAACTTTTTCCCACAGATCCCAGGAGGAAATTTAACTCATCGGTGTCGGAGCACTTCAAGCCCATTTCCACAAACGGAAGCTTCTGCCCGTTTCAGCAGCCAGATTATCACGTACCTGAGCAGATATGAGTGAAGACAAACCAGCTGCTACTGTGGAAACATCTCCGGTGGAAGGGAACGCCATTCCTAACGGTAAAAGCCATGAACCTGGGGAGGACATCACAGCTTCAGCTAAAACACCCCCTGCAGAGGACTGTGAAAAGTGAGTGCTGCACATCATTACAACCTTCATAACTATTATTTAAAAAAAAATAAAAATCACTATAAATGCTACAATGTTGGTGGTTTATTGGACAGTTCTAACTTCTAACTGATGTAACAAAAACTTGAGCAAACCAGGGAACAAGAAAACATTAAATTCAACCAAAGCTATAAAACCAAACCAAGACACAACCATAAAATACCAAACTATGTTTCAAGTTTATGCTCAATAATCCAGGTAAAAAAAAATCCAACAAAGTTAAGTCAGATCGTCTGGACAGTTTCTTTTTTTTAGTTGAAATGTTTCGTCCTTCATCCAAAGGACTTCATCAGTCCGAGGGGCCACAAGAAACTCAACCCCATAAGTGGCTTTTTCACATAGTGGACCAGCCAGTTTTATGGTGATGAGATAGTTTCTGGAGTCCACCCTCTCCCCCGTCAACTCCTTTGAGGCAGCCATAGCCAAAGTGGTTCAAAACATCAAAGTTCATGCTCAGTAATCCTACATAATATGCGAGTAAGCCACTTATGGGACTGAGTTTGTTGTGACTCCTCGAACTGATGAAGTCCTTTGGGTGAAGGATGAAACCTTTCAACAAAATGAAACCATCCAGAGGACCTGACTTAAACCATGTTAAGCAGAAGGTCATGCAAAGCGTAAAACCCAACAACTGCTGAAGTGCTCTCAGATGAGACCTGCCCACACACTGCAGAGGAATATTCTCTGGATAATGGAGTGAGCTGAGTACCCAATTATCATGTCAAGTTGTTCAGCACTTTTTTCTGCTTGCTCTGTCTGAGTAATAGATGGTTTAATTACCACTCCTCTGTCCACAGTACAGACAATGATTTATAGATGCTCCTTGTCATTGCTCTTATTATATTATGACTGTGGGTGTTGTGTCTCCACTTTGTGCTCACGTTGGGTGACGGATGACCTCTCTCTACACAATATGTAGGGAAACTGTAGCCAATAGTGCCCAGAATGCTAGGTATGTATTAAGCAATAATGATAAGAGAATGTGTCATGGCTTGTGTGCAAATAAATACTGATGTTCATTTTTGTTGTTTAAAAAAGTGTCTCTTTCTTGATGAGTGGTTACAAAAGGTGTCATGTCCTGACAAACGTGTTTCTCTTTATTAGTCCTCACAAAAATGAAAATGTGGAGTCCAACCTCCCAGAGAGCCAGGAGTTCTTGTCACGTGGGGAAGACAAAAAGACAACGCGCTTTACAGATGTGAGTTCATGCACAGATTACTTTTTCCATCTTCCTATAAGTTAGACTTTTTGTAATTATTTTACGATCTTTATCAATAGTTCTCCAGAGTTTCAGGACATCTTTCAATGTTTTTTTTTATTTATTTTGTTTTATTTTATTTTGGAATGGCTGCTTTTTCACTGTTGTTCTGTTCCGTCCTTTTTCCACACAATGGCAGCGTATTGCGTTTGCTTGAGAAATGAAAGAAAGTGTTCAAGTAGAGGACAAATAAAGTGTCTGTGTAAAATAACAATTATATTTAGAGCAGATTAACAGTATCTTAAAGTCATGTTATTGGGAAACAATAGTAAAAAATAAAAAATCAACAAAGACTTGAGAGATGCAGTAACATTGAATTAATGATAGATAGATAGATAGATAGATAGATAGATAGATAGATAGATAGAT